TTTAGTTTGAAACTTGAAAGTTATACACAATAATAACTTCAAGTTGTATTGGATTCTAGGCTTATCTGGCCTCGTGGCAACTGTTTACAACAAACAAAATGTAGAGTGTCACAATCAAACTTGCTTCGGTTTTGCACTAACTAGTAATTTAGTGATTTTTTTTATTTTTGAAAATATATATTTACTCTTTCGCATACAGTATTATTCTATTTCCTTGAAACTATGATTAAAAGTGATAATGCAACTTACAAATAATAAACAATATAAATATACTTGTAGTCAGGTATAATTTTTATACATAGTACACTATTTAATGTTTGATATCCCGTTTGTGATTTAATTGTTTTAATATCTGTCGGTGAACATATTTATTCCAGGTATTTTAATTATTTTTACATCACTATTCTAGTGTTTTTGAAAAAAACTTCATACCTCTCGAATTCTAGCAAATTACTTAAGTTAACGTTTAGTCTCTAAAGTTGGGAATTATTTTTAAAGAGTTCGCGTTTGAACACATTTCACCTTGTTTAATACTTCCTAAAGAAAAAAAACACAATGGTTTCTGGTTAATTATACGTATTGAAAAAGGATTTGTCTTACAACCTGGGAGTATGGGTTATGGAATTAGTTAAGATCAAAAGGTTATGTACGAATATTTCGTTTCTCTTTAAAAAATTTACTTATCCCTTAAAATGTCGAACATAATACACTAAAACTAATGAGTAAAGAAGTTGACATTTTTTAAATCAGAGCAATTAGTTTCATCTGTATATATGGCATTTGCAATACATAAACCGACCAAGTTACTAAGGTTTATCATGAAAATTTTTGCAAAGACTCACAGGAAATTCGTAATATATTAAGACATATCTATCCAGGTCATCCGTCGAAGGAAAACAGTTTTTACATATCGATCAAGCATTTAAGTAAGAGCCATGAATATTGTGACTATCTGTTAGACTAGAATAATCCTTGATCCAATGTTTTGATTGAAACAACGAACTTACAGAGTCTCATGCATTTTCTAACAGCCGATTAATTGCCTAAATAATTTCAAATAAATCAAATTTGAAAAACTCTTCTGCGGATACTATTGTAGCGAATTATCGAAATCTACGAAGATACCAAAAATACAACTTTAAGGGATTTCAAGAAAATTTACAAAAATTAGAACATAAATGGGGCAAGTGCATTATCATACACGAGCAGTACTTTGAAGTAGATAAGATTAGTGTTCCTTCGATTTGTAGAAAAAATTTCTCACGATGGGGATTTGTGGGGATCGTAATTATTACGACAGTTGAATCCATGAGTCGATTCGAGCTAGACCACTACCAAAAACCTGGAAGTACTGGATGGTCGTTTCATCCTAGTATGGAACTCCTCAACAATGCTCATTCACGATCCCACACATGGGACTCGAACCCATGACCTTCAGTCCCACGAGTGAACACTCAACCTCTAAACCACTGAGCCGGTATCCAACGGTGTTAATACCTAACTTCAATTAACCTATGATCTTGCGCAACCATTCATCTATTAAAATTACTACAAACTCCACAAACTTCTTTTCTGATAATAATCATTTGCTCACTAGTGACTAGCTTCTAGATGAATTTCTTGAAGTTCTCATTAGAAGCTACGAACAGTGGAAACAGTTATCCTTGTACTATGATATAACTAATGGCTATAATTCACTTATTCAACAACAAAAAATAACATATTATTATTCAGACCATCATCTCATAACAAGTAAAGACAACAAAATGAAACTATTTTTAATTAACTTCATTAACGGAAAAAAAAGAGCAATAAAATTTAATCAGTTAAATTATTTAAAAAATCGAGGACAAAAAAGAAAAAGAAGGATTAATCAAAAGTGAAAATTTTTCCAGTAAATTTACTCCAGATGTATTGCTAATTGGAAAAATCACATAATATTGTTTACTGATTAGTAACAGATATATATAACCATTGTGAAGTAGTAGACGAAGAATTAGCGATAGAAGTGATGATATTTGTAGTCATTTGTTAAACTGATATCTTCATTTAAATCATATATATGGAAGAAGTACAACTAAGGTCTGTAAAAGATATACAATTATGTACATGTATATAAATTATTTTAATTTGTTAAACACATGATTTAATTGATAGAACTTTTGTTTCTAAGGAAAATCACACAAATCTCCCCCCCTGATGAATTTCATACTACACAAATATCATTTCTTCAACATTCTTTTTTCTTTTTTCATTTTTAATCTTTTACTCTCCTGTTATTATTATTGGTGGTGGTGATGTTACTTTTTTCCATTCGTTTCTTTTCTATAAACTAATTAAAATCATCTGGTCTTTTATTTATACAAACATGTAGGTGTATAAACATTTTGTTATTCATATTTAAGTGAATGTATAAACATCGATTTAAATATTATTACCTAATTTACAGTCACCATAATGATGATACGCTAAAAAAAGACTTAATTAGTTCAGACATTTACTTATTAATCTATATAAAAATAAAATATAAAGTAATAACCACTATAGCTACTACTAATAATACTACTACTAATAATAAACAAGTTATAACAATCTTCAGTTAGTTTATTTTCAAAAATAAAAAAGAGATAATTATCAACACAACACTTTCAACATTAACTAAACTGACATTATAATAAACATGCTGTGAAATTTCACAAATTTATATTATATCTTTCTTTCATTTTCTGTTTATGTGTGTATGTGTGTGTAAAGATTCAGGTGTAACAGACAAGTTTCTAACTATTATTAACTATGATGGACTTCTTTAAGTTAAGTAACATAGTAAGATAGATAGTGAGATAGTAAGATAAATAGATAGGTAGATAGGTAGATAGTAGGATAGATAGATAGTAAGATAGGTAAATAGATAGATAGATAGGTTTATATATATATATGTAATTCGAACAGACATTTGGTTAATAGACTACAAATTATCTTTGAATAAAATTAAAATGAAAAAAATGAAACTGAAAAAACAAAAAATTATTATTGATAATAATAATAATCATTATTTTTTTAAATAGGTGTTTATTTAATTATTAATTTAATATAAATTGTTAAGTCATAATGAAATATATTAATTAATAATCACAGCTGGTTACTTTAATCAACAAAACTGGACTGATATTGTCTGAATTCACTTGGTATTGTTTGGTTGAATATTCCCATTGGTGTTTAGAACAACAATTGATCAGTGTTTTGTTGGTATATATGCATCCTGTACGGATTGTTTAGATATTTTCTGAAGTCATAAGCTTTATAAGCAGAGATGGATAATGGCTAGCAGTGGAATCTAAGATGCACATAAGCAATTGACTATCAGGACTCAGTAGATAAGTGGATAATGCAATGGCGTTTGAAGCGAATGGTACTGACTTCGAGTCCCAGAATGAACATCAACTCTGAGATGTAGGTACATCCAGCTGACAAGTCCCAAATAGGACGAAACGCGCGTCCTGGATCATTTGAAGCTAGAACATTATGGAAAACCTGGAAGCACTGGACGACAGTTTCTTCCTATTGTGGGACTCTTTAGCAGTGCGCATCCACGGTCTCGTCTCGCTAGATTCGAATCCAGGACCTATCAGTCTCACGCGCGAGTGCCTAACCACTAGACCACTGAGCGAGCATCCAACGGTGTTAATGTCTAACTTCAGCCACTCCTTGAAATTGAGCGACCCACCACCACTGTCTTAAGTGAGTTGATATCTCACAACAGACCTGGTTGTACTCCACTGGTCACTGCTTCTCACTAGTACTCCATGAAATATCTCTTGAAGCCAGTCACTAGTAAGCATATGATTATTATTATTATCAGAAGGGGATTTATGGAGATTTTAGCAATTTTTTATAGTTGAAATCAGTGCTTCCAGGTTTTTCATGATGGTCTAGCTTCAATTGATTCCTGATTTCAACTATAAAAAGATACTAAAATTTCCACAAACCTCCTTCTGATTAGAATATTACCTTGTTATGTCTTTTTATTACATCTCCAGTTATTATTCCTAGTTATCTGAGTTTAAAAGTGTACTTTATAAAAGAGATGAATATATTATATAATAAATGACTGTCTAATTTAAGTTGAATTATTCTTTATTCAACCTAATTAATACGTTTGTCTAAATATAACCGAATTGATCGATTTTAATCATATTTTAGAGATCAAAGATTACATTGGTCTCTATTTTATGTCATTGATCAATATTGGTTTAAATATCTAACAGAGATTGAATTCTCTCAAAATTACAGATAAATTTTTGTAGGAATTATGAAGAAACAAAAATTCGGTTTTTAATAATTCTTCATTCGTAGCATCGAAGGGGTGTATGGTGTTAGAGATAAAAATCATTTCGTTTGAAATAAACTATTATACTTGTAAATAAAAATTGGGCACTTGTTTTAATGGAAATCTATCACCCTAAATAAATTTGTACCGCAATAATTGTTAGCATTCTCCTTCCCCCACAAAATAAAACAAAAAATGTCGAAATTATTGCTTTATAGACCAGGTCTCTAATAATAATATGAAATGTGTAGGTATTCACTTAAAATAGTCAAATGTACATCTTTCACTGATAATAATAATAATAGAATAAAGATGAGATTAGCGAAATTTCAAATATTTGTCACATATGATTAGAAAAGCTCGAGGTCTTTTTATTAAAATCTTAGTACGAACTAATCAGACGAGAGTCATCAAGTGGATTTCCTTATTTCATTGTAATGATCCATTAATTCTGCAGATTTAAATTATGTGACAAGACATAAAGGTTCAGTGAAAATATGATAGTTTACCCCTCCCCATAAATAATTCTAAATACTGAATCTTGATTAAAACAAAAAGAATTTAAAACTTAGCTATGACTCTCTTGTAACCGGTTTTGTTGTTTCCCTCTCACCCTATTATACCCCATCCTCATAATATGTTTTGTTTTAATTTCACTATTTCCCTTTTATAGAAGATCAATTCTCTGATCAATCAATTGAATTCAAACCCCAACAATTGCATGAATCAAAATCACCAAATCCAACTATACAATCTATAAATATGAATCCATCTTTTATAAAATCCAAACAAAATTCATCATATTCATTCAATCAAATTACACAATTAAAAAATTCTACATTTAATCATCAAATTATTCAATCAACAAATAATGCACATACAATCAATGATTACCCTATAAAAACTTGTAAACGTAGATTAACTGATAAAACTATACAAGTAACTCATCAAAATAAACGTTCACGTGAAATCAACAATTGGCCTTATTCTTTATTATCAACTAAATTATCTAAAGATAATCTAAAAATGAATATTGAAACAGACGAATTATCAACAAGACAACATCAACAACAACAAGTACTATATAATAAAAGATTTGATTTTAATAATATTCATGGTAAAGTTGATTCATGTTTGTTAAATCTATGTACAAATTCAAATCAAAGTGATCATCATCATGATGATAATGATCATTGTCTATATGACCTTGATGATGAAGATGATGCTGATGTCGAAGAGCAAGAGGATGATAATGATAACGATGATGAGAATGAAAAAAGTGAAGAAAATGATGTAGATGATAATGAAAGTGATTCAGATAATGATTATAATTTTAAAAAATGTTCAAAATCTACTACTACTACTAATAATAATAGTAATGTAAATGATTCAAATATGAAACCAAGACGTGCAAGAACTGCTTTCACTTATGAACAATTAGTTACATTAGAGAATAAATTTAAAATGACAAGATATTTATCAGTATGTGAACGTTTAAATCTTGCTTTATCATTAAATCTTACAGAAACACAAGTAAAAATATGGTTTCAAAATAGACGCACAAAATGGAAAAAACAAAATCCTGGTAAAGATGTTAATATGCAAAATGATAAGTCATTTATTTCTAAAATAATGATACCATCTACATCGTCATTATCATCAACAGTGAGTACAGTTTCAATGCAAAGTATATTTTCATCTATACCATCTGTTCAATCTTTAGGTATTCATCGTCGTCGTCATCACCATCACCATCATCATCATTTACAACAAACTCAACTAGAAATGGAAAATTTTTCCCAGTTATCTAAACTTTATTATGAAACATCATTAGCTAACAAATCAATACCAAAAGAAATGTCCACATTAGAATTCTTACGAACAATGAACTACTTAATGAATAATAATAATAATAATAATACACTTACTTCCTCAACAATAAATAATAAAGAGTCACCAGATTATAAATTAAATAATGATTCATTTAAACAATCAATTTCATTCGATTTAAATAAATATTCTAATCTTTTAGAATATTATCAACAAATATGGTCATCTTTAAATAATCAAAATAATAACTTGATACAAAATCATTCAACTTCACAATTGAACAATGAACGATTTACCAATGATGATATTAAATATTCAATGAATTCAATAAGTATACCTACATCGGAAGTTTATCTTGATAATCTTAAATCAATCATAGATAATAAAAATGTATTCCAACAAGCCAATCTTAATAATCATAATCATGATGATCCATCTATTTTAACGAATATAAATGAATCTTGTTTAGATTATAATAGTGAATTACATAATCCTATGAAAAATATATTCCATGATACTATGAACTCATTACCTACTTATATATATCCAACTCTATTTAAACCAATCTCTAATCATGAATCTAAAATACCATCGTCAACATCAACATCATCATCACTGAAATGGGATCCAGTTGAAATGATATCGAATTCTATTGAACACAATGATAAAAATAAGAAATTGAATAATGAACAAAATGAAACGATAATATGGAATAAGAATTCCATGACTGATGTTGCTTATGCCATGTTAACAAATTCATTTGAACAAACAAATTTTAAACAATATTTAAATCAATGGACAGAGAAAAATGAATTATTCAATTCCATTTCAAACAATAATAATAATAATAATAGTCTAATCTTATCAACAGAAGTAAATTCTAAAAATATAGAATTATCTAAAATAAAACAATTCAGTAATAGTAATAATGATCCTGATGATGTTGATAATTCACATTATACTTCAACAAGTCCATCAGCTTTACAACATTCTACAACATCTTCATCAACTTCTTCACCACATACAACAACTCATTTATATCATATTGAACAACAATCATCACCAGATGATTTAATGAATAAATTAAATGATAATTTAAATAATCATAATCCTCCTATTCAATCAAACAATTGAGTATATAAGTTCATTTAAACACTGGTCTATTCTTCTTTATTCACTCTTTCTTCTTTGTTTTTTCTCTCTTTTTCTTTCTCTCACTTTTTCTTTTTTTTTAAAAAAAAGTATTCGAATAAAATGTAAAGTAAAAAAATAATCATTTTCATGGATAAAAGTGAAAATAACGGGATTCGAATACTTGGCTTCAAAGTTATCCAATTAATTCATATATATAAGACTTTGTGTTTGGAACATAATAGAAGTTAATTTCTACTTCATATTGAAATCTTGTTTTGGAAAAAAATTTAGTGTTTTTCAATTTATGATTGATAGAATAAACATTAAAAACATGTGTACATTATTAATAAAATGTTTTACTTTAATAAATATATATCCAGTATTAATGATCACTGGGTTCTATATGATAGATTAGTTGAAAGTAAAACTATGAAATGATAAACGTCGACTTAGTAACTGGATGTCATACTGATAATTATCATGTGCTGATTAGTGACTAGCTTCAACATGCATTTCCTGGAGTTCTAGTGAGAAGTAATGATCAGTGAAGTTCAACCATGTCTAATATGAGGCAGTTACTCACTGAAGACAATGGTGGACAGTGGCGCAATTTTGTGGATTGGTTGAAATTGAACATTAACAAAGTTGGATGCCGACTCAATGGTTTAAAGATTGAGTGCTCACACGTGAGGCTATAGGTCCTGGATTCGAGTCCCTTTTACATGATCGCTCATTTGCACCTCTGAAGAGTCCCATACTAGAACGAAACGACTGTCGAATTCTTCCATGGATCTTAATTAAAACTCAACAATCTCCACAAACCTTTACTGATATTTATGTAATCACTGCGAAATTTTTAAGTACCAACTTCTATTTTCTGTTGTTATGTTTTATTATTGTAGATATGGTGTGTACTTCACCCAATTGCATAAGCACGTAACTATCAGGAATCAGTAACTGACTTGATAATACAACTGTGTTTGAAGCGGACGTTAATGGGCTCGAGTCCCTGAGTGAACATTAACTCTGGGATGCAGGTACATCCAGTGCAAGCTTGCCAGCTCAGTGGTCTATCGGTTAAGGGCTTCGGCTCGAAACTGGTAGGTCCTGGGTTCGAATCCCGCGAGAGTGGGTTCGTGGACGCGCACTGCTGAGGAGTCCCATAATAGGACGAAACGGCCGTCCAGTGCTTCCAGGTTTTCCATGGTAGTCTAGCTTCAATTGACTCATGATCTCAACTCTATAAAAATAACTATATACATTCAAGAACAGATAAGATCATTTGGAGATGGGGTTCAAAAAACATCGGGGGTGGATGACTCATTAATCAAATGACGTCCAAAAGCAGATAAGATAGATTGTGTAATAATTTTAGAGGTTATGAAGGGTTTACATAAAATTACGTAATAATTGAACAGAATTTCATGAGCCTACATAAGTAACGAGAGTAAAGTGAATGAAACCATATAAGTGAACGGATGGTTATGGTGTACATAAAGTAAAAATTGGTTAAGGGAATACCGCATGATAAAATAATGATAATGACAAAAAATAATTTACCAAGGTAGTGATAAGTTGGTCATTGTCTCTTTCTGAATACATAAGTCAGGTTTGAGTTTCTCCATTGCTATTGTTTCGGTAGATCGAAGAAACGCTGTGTTGTTTCCGTCTTCTAATAATTTTGAAGCCTTGTAGAATTTTTATGGTATATCCGGTGTTAGGTAAGTACACAGAGATCACATTGTTTAGAACCGTTACACCTATCGGTCTCAAGTTGTTTGGAACGTGCACGGGATTGAGAACATTCTTTCGTTCATCTATGTCAATTGTTTCACATTATATTAAACCTCAATGTTTCCTTTTAGTATATATATATATATATATATATATATATATATGCTGTGACGGATAGCTTATTACAAAAACTCATGATTTTCATTACATCTCGTATTTCGCAATGCTTAGATGATTGTTTCCTTGTGGAATGAACGGTCAGTATAATTATATTTGGGTTGGGAGTGTTTATATTAGAAGTGCTAAGGTTAGGAGCCAAAGTTAAGGTTAGGAGTATGTGTTAAGTATTAAGTAATTTTGAGGTTGGCAGCTAGAGTCGAGAGGTTTTAGGAATAGGAAGTTTTAACATTAGAATCTAGGGTCTAGGAGTTAGGTTTCAAAGGGTATAGAGCTAAGAATCAGGGTCTATCCTGATTACAGAATCTTGATAACAAGCCTGAATTATGAATATGTATCATTAACAAATTTACTAATGATTTTAAAACTCACTATCCTTTGTATTACTATCACTATTCTATATTTTAGAGCTCTTACATGAAAGCTGTATTCTGACTGACTATTTTTGAATTGACTGATCTCAAGGCTATTCATAAATTATCTGGAGGTTGTCAGTATAGTATAGTCTTGCCTAAGAACTTACCCATCCTGAAACGAATACTGTTTATAACATACTTTGAGAAGCAATGATCCTTTTTTGTGTATAATCAGTGATTAACCCTCAAAAAGATCGTGCTATGTAGTAGAGGTTTAGATGTGGCAGAGAAATATTCATTCAGATAACCCTATCCATGAAAGTTACTAGACCATTGTCTCAAAATGCTTTTCGTCAACCTATTAACAAACCCACACATAATCACGATAAAACTACGTAGAGTCATGTGTAAAAATATTTATGAAGGATCCAGAAGAAAACTGATTTTCATTCCTACTGATAGATTTTCACACCAAAATATAGTCTGATTCCAATATTAAAAATAAGTGAAGAATAATATCGTTTTCATAGTGATACCTGAAAGCTCTAATTACAATCTTGTTTATGATCGTCGAGTTCACACTTATGAAGAATTCCAAAACTAGAATAAATCATCAGTCTGATTCACTATAATATTCACTAGTTCTTCAACTTATACTAAACCAAGAAAAACAACTATATGTTAGAAACGCATAGATCTCAACAAAACACTTAACTTAGAACTATTATTATTATTATTATTATTATTATTATTGCATAATAACCACCTTTTAGCACAAATGAGTAAACAATAAGTATAATGAATGTTGTTTATTGTCAACTATAAATTGAATTCCATTCTAATTAAATGATAATAATAATCATTGTATGATGGAAACGAATTCATCCTTAAAATAATTATACTAATAGTCAATAAATGCGCATTTACAAGAAACCCACCAATTCAAATTCAAAAATTCAACTAAATAGGGACAAAACAGTAACCAAGTTAATGACTATGTATAACTACCGGATATGAAAACTGATAATTACTAGTTTCAAATATTAATGAATGAATGAATGAACAATCAAACATTTTAAAAAGCGATTTTTAGAGTGAGTCCCGTTTTTTTTTTCATTCTTTTAAAAAGGAGATGAGAAAAGAAAATTAAATTGAGAATAAGAAAAAAAAACAGCTACAAGAAGAGAAAAAGGACATGAATAGTAATTAAATTAAATAACTTTTGTAAAATACCCTGATAATCTATTTATTGCTTATAAAATGATTAAGAAGTGTGTTAGGTTGTATCTTTCTTTTTGTGATTGCTTGAAATTGAGTGAGTGAGTGAGTGAGTGAATATGATAAACAGAAAAAAAAAGGAGTGGAACAAGGAAGTGCATATGAACATATGAATAAATAAAGGGTAACAAAGTGAAAAAAATAATAAGATAAAGCTGAAAGTATACTTTTATGTCTTTCTTGTAGAGATTTTAGGTATAACTATAGTTGATAGTTCGTACTGTATTTATTTCACTGGATTATAATGAATGTCATTACTAAATATTAAAATTATACAGAATTAAATCACTTTATAAAATAACGAATATCATCTCAAAAACACTTTATTTCGAATAGAAGAAAAAATCTCTTTCTCATCCATAAAAAATTGTATATCCAGATCAGATTATCTTGTTTATAATACCATCTGTGTTGAACAGCAGTTTAAGGAAGTTTTAACTAGTTCTATAGAACAAGTAAGATATACAGAAAAAATCCTAATAATTTGACGAAACTTAAGAATATACAACCACTGTCACTGTCCTCACCAGTGATTAGCTTCGAGAAATCTCTGAAGTTTTAACGGGAAGCTGTGACAAGTCGAGTTCAACGTTAACGGGTGTGAGAAAGGTACTCACCAGACAAAACGGATGATAGTCATGCAATATCTTAGATTGATTGAAGTTAGACTTGTACATCATTGAGTGATCGGTCAAGTTATCTGGAGGTTAAGCATTCCTTCACAATACCAAAGGTCGACTCCTGTGTGTTAGATCTTGGGTGCGCATTGCTGAGGAGACTGATGTCCAGCACTTCCAAATTTTCAAGGATTGCTCGTGATTTTTATCAAATCCAACAATCTCTACAACCTCATATTGACAATATACATTTTAAATATGCTTTTTAAAAAAAATCGATAGTGCAATCACTGGAATATTTCAAAAACGTTTTCCTAGCTACAAAGAATTACTAGTAGTCGAAGCTTCTCATGTATTCCTAGACCCTAGGGTACACAACAGATAGGAAGGCCTAACTGTCTATACGTCATGACTGATACGTTAGTCGACACCACTTTCTAAGTTAGCCAGCCATAATCCAAGTATAATTTTCCAACATCACGTTGTTTCGTATATCACGCAGTGTCCTACGCCTTGATTAGTTATACCTTCTGACTGGCATGATTAACCTTGAGCTGAGGCTAAAGTACTCTGTTGATTCTTAACCTTGAGTCCGAAAGAAGAAAATAGCATTTAAGTTTTATATTATTATATTTTAATATCCAGCATTTATCTCAAACGCTCATTAGCTTATATATATGAATTACCTGACCGCAACTCACCCCAAACAAGAAATTATACTTTGAATACAATCATATCATGAGTGGTAGAGAATAAAGTGAGCAGTGCGTAATCCATCTGTAATAGTTAAGAAATAGTATGACCTATGATGATAGTGAATCCACTCAAATCTCACATGTTTATTATAAGGACAAGATAATCTTACTTCCTCGCAAATATATTATCACTTCACTAATATAAAAATATCAGAATTGTTTACACTATAAAAAGAAATAACTTAAACACTATTGGACGAATGAATTTGTACTGTCTTTCACTGGAATTAAGGTCGTCAATAAATTCACTTCAAATCATACTCATATGAACCAATAATTCTTAAGTAATAACCGACGAGAAGTTGAAACATTGTTTAAAATTTAAGAGTAATTTTTCACAACGAATTGAAGTAAACTGAAGAACAACTGGAAATCATTGAACATTGGATAGTTGATTCATTCTAGTTGTAAATTTTTCAACAATTGAATTGAAGTAAACTGAAGAACAACTGGAAATCATTGAACATTGGA